AAGAAGAAATAAAAAAACCCTTTGAAGACTTTCATGAATCCCAGGACTCTTGAGTCTCCTCCATCCTCTGGTGTTCCCAGAGCACTGGTTCCCAAAATTACCAGCCATGTAACCTTGGGCAAATAACTTAAGTGTCTTGGTTTCCTCACTACTAACATAGAGATAACATATACTTCATAAGGATTAAGTACAAAGTACTTAGCTCAATATATAATACAAAAATCCTTTAAAGCATTTTTTAACTAAATCTGTTGTCCAGTTACTTCAGCCAGGAAGGAAAAAGAATCTCTAAATCTGTTCTTATGGCTCTTTTTACTTAGATTCGCTCAAGGAAATAGAAGTATGAGGAGCCTGGGCATGTCAGGTCCCCTCAAACCTGCCAAAGACTAAAAGTTAGAGGCCCCAGAAGTCAGTGCATCTTGGTGTGATCCATGAGAAACAGCTCTAGGCTCTTTGGTTTGGAGGGAATCTCAGAGATTTTATCTAGCATTTACTTTGCAACTGAGGAAAATAAAAGACCAGAGATGTTAAGTGATTTGTCCAAAATTATAAAGTTAACAGAAAATAGTACTAGGCTGTCTCCTAACTACTTTCTACCAGGCTGCAGCTGACTGGAAACAGATCCTTCCCCTAATCGAGGAGACCAGTATAAATCCAATTTCATAGATATCAGAATCAACAAGGTTTTAGTGATGTAATGACCCAAATCATATCCCACTCCATGCCATGCCCAGGTATGCCAGACTTGAAAATTAGGTGTTCATGAAATTCTAAGCTCTTCAACTCCAATAAATTAATTCTATAGACTCAACCACTATCTCCCCTTCTCTTTTTCACTTTCTGTATCATCTAAGGCCTGAGGGATCTCACTAACAGAGATCATTTTCTGAACAGAATACAAGATCTCAGGTATGTAATTCTCCTGACTTGGGCTGATATTTCTGTGATATTTTCATTCTTTTGGTCTTGTAAGCTAGAAATTTTCTGTCTGCCTGCTTGCTGGCATTCTTTAGCAAGCTCTTTGTAAAAGGGCTGGCCTTTATGACTGGTTAACTGAGGTTTTAGTAGAAGGAGAGTCAAAAAGGCTGAAAAACATAAGACTATACTGATTCTTCACATTCTAGCCTTCTCATTCACTACTATTCTCTCCAGATAAACTATGACTCTCGATAACTGACCTAAGATCAGCCTATGTTCATTCTATTTTAGAAACAAAAGAAAAAACATTCAGAGAAGTGGAGACAAGAGTGACTCGCTGATTAGGAAAGGTTCTTCTATCTAGTTTCTGATTATAGTCAAGCCCCAAAGGAGGTTTTCTGAACCACTAATGCCACCTGGTGGCCGGTAATATACATTAATAAAACTTAAAATCCATATAGTTCAGATTATGTAGGAATTTGGCACAACGGTGAGTTGGAAGAGTCGATTATATTACTGTAATCTCTTGATTTTTTGTTAATTGGCCAATTTCTAGTCTCTATTATCAAAGAAAACTATATAAAGCCAAACTTTTCCCACTCTCCCAAAAATTTCATCTTTCTCTCCAAAAATACCCCACACCCAGCGACTGAGTCATACAATACATGTGCGCAAAACGGGCTTCAATTCATAAATAAAATCAATTTTATTAGTAAAGATCTTCCACATGTTCAGAATAAACAATCATTGCATTCCAAAGAGGAAAAAAACCCACATACAGTGAAATCAGAAGTATCCCCAGATGACAAAAAACATACATAAATATGTATACCCATAATCACCGCCGCCTCCGAAAACCTGAAAGGAAGGGAAACCAAGAATGAGGCAAAGGACAGTTAGAAAATCTGAAAGGACAGAACGAAAGGACATCTAGAGAGAACAGCTCAATAGAGGTAGGTCCCCTAGGCAGGTCCCCTAGGCAGTACTCTATATCCTTCCAGGACAAAAGACCAGAAGTAGGAAACCTTCAAGTGATATGTTTATAGTTCTATTTAAAGAGCCCAAACAGGAGCTTTCAGACCTTAGAGAAAAAATCCAGAAATCTCTTATGTGAGTGATGCTGATTTCCAGCTTGGGAAAGAAGAAAAATAAAAGCCCACATCTAAAAAGATTAATGCCAGTATGGAAAAGACACTATAGGAGTTGGTAAGATCTAGGATGGCAAATCCAGAGAGCTGGCATCCCAATTCATACTCCCTACCCTGCATTTGATCACCTAAGTGCTAGCCATTCACTGACCTTTTTTCTTCCGACCTTTCTTAGGTAACTTTTTCCGCTTCTTAATAGGATTCTGATCCTGGAAACAGATGGGGAAGTGAAAAAATGGTCATGCACTTCCAAGTGTTAGTATCCCTCCCCAAGATTCTCATGGTTACAGGCTCCACAAACTGGCTGAAAGCATGAGAGTCACCTCCCACTGTATCAAGATGATACCTCACCTCATCAAGATGAGGGGTTCCTCCTGTCAAAGCACTGATGTCACTGAAGTGTGTGAGGGAATGAAGTTGTGAGCTCATGACATTTGCTCGTTTTCGCCGTCCTTTCTCTCGCTTACTGACACTTAAACGCACCATCATGCTTTCCTCATAGTTAATCCTGCCAGAGAAACAAAGACACTGTTTCCAGCATGCTCAATCCCTAGGACATAAAGCTGCAGCCAAGAACCTGGGCCCAAGTATTTATTCACCCCTTATTCAAACAGTTCAAGAAATTTCACAGCAGGTGACTATAGAATACTGGATGAAGACATATTGGATGACCAATACCGAGCTTCCTCAAGAAAATGTTCCTTGTGCTAGAATTTCCCTTCTCCCTAGAAATGAACTCACAGCCCATCCACAGACATAGTTCAACTATTATATCAGGAAATTCTGATATTTCAGCTCCATAAACAGGATTCCCTACATGGGCCCTTTCACTCAAATCTATCAACTGTAGAGATTGCCACATGGGCAAAGTTGATGAGTCTGTATTCAAGTTACAATCACTTTTCTACTTTTCTTCCCTAAATTTATGTAGCATTCTCAACTGCATTATAAAAACCTGCCTTTATTGCCTTCTGCACAAAAGTGAGAGCGGTGATAGTGAAATACAGAATGTTAAAGTCCTACTAAGTGGAACTGTATATATTCCTCTTCATATAGCATTTGCTCAGCCTAAACATTTGGGGGAAAAAAGACATTTTTTCCCTAGTTCTCATTCTGTACTTCAAACCCCTAATTCTTATAAAGTGTCATTCTGAGTTTTCCACTCCGTTTTCTATATAACGCGCGTTCTCTTAGTACCAGACTTAATCATATTCATCCAAAGCACAAGGACAGGTCTCTATAGCATAGAAAACAATGTCTAATCGCAAGGCTCAGACCTGTGTTGATCTTCCTGACTCTGGCGAGTAATATGAGGATGCCGAGCATCACGGATTTCCTCTGGAGCATCTGAGTACTGCTCCTTAAGTTCACGAATGACAGAGCTACTCAATGCCCTCCTCTTGGCTCGTTCAAGGCGCTTCTTCTCTCGCTCAGCCTCTGTTTCATCTATATAATCAAATTCAGCAAGGGTTATCCCAGAACAGAGAAAAGGAGAAGAGAAACACAATTCATGCTGAGGAGGCAATAGCCACAGTTCATACCATAATGTACTGGAACCAAGCGTGGTGGAACATATTTCTTAACTGCTCCATTTGCAGATTTCTTCCCTGAAGCCCCAGACTGGCCTTCCTCTGCTTCATCCTCCTCATCTTCAGAGCTCAACTACAAAAATAATATAATGTCCACAGACTTAGGAAGTGTTAGTTGAACAAGTGATTAGAGAAACCAAAGCTGCAGTACCTTGGAGAAGTGAGAATATAAACAAAAGGGAGAATGGAGAATCTCATACTCAACATTCTAAGGCACAAGCTGGAACGTACTGTAATAAGAGAATCCGAGGAGATCCCGAATCACCACGAGGCTAATTCAGGATTAGATTTCTCAGGAAAACCAAGATAACGCCACTCCTTACCTTGCTCATCATATTGCTGGGATGAGGCTTAAAACGGAGTGGATCATTCTCACCTGAAACATAAAAAAACCCAAGAGATTTTATAAGATTTGGGACTTTATGATGGTTCCCACGTAACCTTACAGCTTCCCCCACTTACTGAGGCTTCCTGTCACTGCAGTCTTGACCAGTTTGTCAATTTGATACTTCAGTTTTTGGTCCAAGGGACGAAGTTTTTCCAAAACCTGTAACACGATTAAAAAGGTTTATATTCCCTTTGCAAAATTAAGCACACACCGGAGTCCTCATATTAAGTTGTCAGATAAAAAACCTAAAATATGCACAAAGTAGAGCAAATAAAGAGATTATTTTTTTCATTTGGTTTCCTCACTTAAACATGAGGACATCCACTTAAATGAGAGTTACTGTGCAACAATCCTGGAGTTCAGGATTTGGAAATCTAGTACTCTAAGATGCCAAATGCTTGATACCGTGCGAATCTCCACCAGTCTCAAAATTGCAGTATGTCCCTGAAGAGATCCTCCTGAGGCTTTGTCCAGGATGAGATGGCTCAAATCCATAAGGTACATGAGCAGTAGCTGGTCTTTCACTTCTAAGAGGCTGAGACCCTGAGTTGAACAAAAACAGTAAGAGATGTGAATTCAGTTTTAGCCAGAGAATCAGGAGGATAGCTTAGGACAAACAGGATAATTTTTCCAAGTTCAAGTTTTTCTCAATCAGTTCATATAAGGTACATGCACGAGTCTCAAGACAGTGGCTGTACCTAAAATAGTCACAGAGGAGCAAAGCTCAGAGCATTATTAGAACACAATAAGAGCAAGGAAATCAATAAAGTATCCCCCAAAATAACTATAGCTGGGTTTCTCAACCTCAGAGCTATTGACATTTGGGGATAGATAATTCTTTGTTGTGGAGTGCTGTCCAGACACTGGAGGATGTTCAGGAGCACCCTTGGTCTCTACGCACTGATGCTCTTTCAAGTTGTGAGTCAAAAATGTCTCCATATGGTGCTGAATTTTAAACTAATTTAATCAAAATAATCACGGATTTTTATCTCCATTCAATAGAATTAGGTGATATAGATAAAAACAATGATTTATACATACTGACATAATTTCTGTCATACTAGCTTAATTCCATGTCAACATACTTTCTACACTACATAGAAAGTGTGTATAAGTAACATGGTTTCAACTAAAGGGAGGGGTGTATGATGTACACATTTTATACATATAGGAAAATGTCTGGAAAATAGCACACGATTAACAACTGGAGATTGAGAAAACAGAAGAAATGGAATGCTTGTACTGGGAAACTTTTTCTATCAAGCACATATGTAGTACCTTTTTTTTTTTGATAGTGACATTGGTTAACGAAGTTCAGTGAGTTTCAGGTATATAATTCAACAGTAAAGCATTTATCCATTGCATTGTGTATTCACCGCCCATAGTTAGATTTCTTTCTGTCACCACATATTTGACCCCTTTTACTTCATCGACCTCCCCCTGTATTACTTTTATAATAAATCTCAAAAAAATGTACTTTAGTGGATATACCAGAATAGCGATTATGTTGGTTTTTAATTGCCTTGTGTTTTTACATATCTTCTAAACTTCTTAAAATTAAAAGTTTATTTACAGGCAGAAAGTCAAGCATATATGTTTATTTTTTTAAATAAAAGAAAGTAACATTTGTAGGCACTAACTTGTTATAGTTACTTAAAAAAAAAAAAAAAAGTCACTGTTGCACAATGAAACTGAAAAAGTCCACAGCCCTGAGAAGACATCCAGACAAGTTAAATACTCTGCCCAAGATTACAGAGTAATAGTAGAGCAGGGATTCGAACTCGGTCTGATTCCAACACCTAAGACCTGGGTATCTTTAAACCAACACACTTAGCTATTAAGATCAGCATTAGTGTATTACAGGAAGATAATAAAAAGATTGAAAGACAGACAAGCTGAGTATAAATTTTGAATTAGGCATTTAATAGTCAGATATTGGGTAAGTCACTTAACCTTATAACATCAGTCTCATCTGTATATTTCCTTCCTGTGCCAACGAGTAATTACAAGTCTCAAATAAGATAACATGGAAGCACTTTGTAACCCATAAAACATCTAGTAAAAGTCTTTGGTCATGAATAAGAAGCTAATAAATATCTGTTCAATGAATAAACAAACATAGTGATCTAAAATACATGCTGGCAACCCATCTCAAAAAGGCATTAAAATGGAGCAAAGCAAGGTACTCAGAATAAAGAGAGCCAAGAATTTGAGAAGTAGGCTCTTCTGACATGCCTGGGCGTTGTCAAGTGCAAAATGGGTTACAAGCACATGAAAGAAACACAAAGGAAGAAAAAGCAAAGATAAAAAAAAAAAAATCAGGAAATATAAAAATAGACAAGAACAAAACTGAATGACAAGAAAAAAAAAGCAAAAAGAGAATATATTAAAAATGCTGTTAGCTACTTTTCTAAAGTAGAAACCTCCTGTAAATCCCATGCTTAAAAGTCCTTCAATGATTCTTATTATCCTCATATAACAATTTTTAAATTTTTGTGACCTATGGAATGTTTTGTTTAAACAACATCTTAGGAGAAAAGCTCAATATATAAAACAGATAACATCAAAGTTTTCCAGTTCGAATAAGTATGAAAGATCCAGAGCCCTCTGACTATACTGCCCCACACTCAATGATCCAAGAAAGTTCTATAAGACCTTAACTTGAAAACTACCATATTTCAATTTTAAGATGCAGTGTTTTCATATTCTGACATCTCTGAAGTCAGGGTGCATCTTTTGATCAGTGGTATCTTAGAAATTATGTCATAGATTAACAAGCAGCATTTTTTCTTAGTGTTTACAAAATGAGTGGTATGTCCCCAATTAACAGTATCTTAGATTAGATGAAATACAATAGTGACTACTCAGTTGACAAGGCTTTTCACAGAGTGACTACTGTTCCAGTCTTATTTCCTACCCCTAACACATACGCACACACAAAATGTACATCCAATCACACTAAATGACTTACCTCCTTTTCCAGAATATCATCATGCTTTCAGGTCTTTGTGCTTTTGCATCTGCTGTTTCCTTCTGTCCCTATGACTCCTGTTTATTCTTCACAATCCTGTTACCTCTTCTAAGAAGACTTTCCTGACTTCCTCTGCTCCTCTGGCAATTATTTCTCTCTCTCCTTGGCTTTCACAGCGCTAATTAGGACTCTGCAACCTGTCTGCTACTGCTTATACCTACTGTTTTGATCTGTCTTCTCCACAAGACCTCTGCACAGAAACTGGATCTTATTCATCTTTAAAGCTCCAACACTTAGGACATACAAGACACTCAATAAATCTATAATGAAAGAATTGTTGAGAATATCCAGTCATGGGATGCTTAGTCTTCAAATATGTCTTACCTTCTCTGTAGGATAGGCTCTAGCTTGAACCTTTTTTGTCAGAGCTTGAACTTGTGCAGTTACAGCCATCACCTGAAATTAGTCCAAATAAAAGAGGTGACTAGAATATATCAAGTGATCTCTGTAAGGTGTGAAGGATAAAATACAAACAATGCCACCTAAAAATTATCTGAAGCACTATCCAACAAACAGTACTATCTTCTTTTTAGTTCTGGGAAAGTATAGAAGAAATGGTTCCTGATACTTCTTCAAAAAGTAGAAAAAATTTTCACCTCTTTTTAAAGCTAAAGAAACCATCTTACCAAACCATAGGGAAGCAATGAGGGCTGAGACAGTGGTGACCTGGGGCGGGGACCGTAACCATCAGTAGTCGTTAACTTGCAATGCATACAACTATAAGAATGTATATTAGTTGGGTACCCAAAGGGCAAATCACATCACCGTCCCCAGCATCGACTTCCTTAGCTATAAAAATAAAGGAAATTAATTCAGATGGCTTTTTTGAGTTTTCTGTGTTCCTTTGGACGCAGAAATCAATTACTTTTAATTGTAGCCTAAAAAAAGTTTTCTTCAAATCATTTACTTCTTGTGGTATTTGGTAGCATTCAAATATATATCTCCAAGTCACCAAAGTTTGGAAGTGAGGCACACACAGTTAAAACCAATCCGTGATTAATCTATTCCAAAGGGGTGACATTACTCACCTGCTCCTGGAGGTTTTTCAAAAGTGCCACGGCACTTGGTAGGTCTGACTCCAGCACCTCCTATAGAAAGAAGAGTAAAGAAAAGCCATTCTTTCTTAAGAATTATGAGAAGACCAGACGTCTGAGATGGAATAGCTCCCAGTCTCCTTCGGACACCCCAGACATCCGGCCTTCCCATGCCGGTGAACAAGCAGCCAGTTCCTCAGGTTATTGGAGAGAAGCAGTTAACTCTAGCCCCGTCTCCCTACTGCTGTTTTTACTTCGCTGGGCCAAGAAGGTCGTCCCCCTGAAGCTACTATCATCACCACCCTTCCCTCGCGCCAATAATTTGCTTCGAGCCACTGAGGGAAAAGGAAACGTCCACGACAGCAAGCCGAGAAAGAATCCACACAGACTTACCAGCGCCGCCATCTTCATAAAGCCCGCCCCTTCCGGAGCCTTACTTCCTGGTTAATAGACTGATGACAACCGTCTCTTGCAAATCTAAGCCAATAGGAATAGGGGGCCTCTCACTTCCGCCCTGAACAGGATGTACAAAGGAGGGGCCGGATCCAGCCAATGGAATAGAAGAACTGGCTAAATTCGTCAGATTTAGGAGGCGAGCTAATGACGTAAAGATGCTCTTGGAAAGACGCATGTAATTGAGTGGAATGATTGAAACTAAACCAATAAAAACTGGGTAAGTGATTGAGTGACAGTTAGGGAGGCCCAATGGAAAAAAAGAGTTAGTGGAGCAAACTGAGAGCGTATTGGCTCCTGGATGCCGCAGTACCCAGTCTTTTCACGACTCTTCCTTTACAGGGCCTCAATCGGCCGCTAGGTGGCAGGCCTCGGCTTTGTTCTGAGGAGGCGGCCACGTTGTGCATCCCCCATCGCCGCCTACGGCTCCAAAGCGGGCCAAACTAGATTCCTTAGAGATCCTTATAGACTCCAAGACCTTTGGATCTACTTTCTGACGGTACTCCTGTGTGACTATTGAGAAGTCACTAGATCGCCGAGCTTTGTTCATCTGTAAAGAAGAGAGTTGGGCCAGAGAAGGCCAGAGCCAGGGTTTAGACACGGGCAACCAGGATACTCGCCCTCGTCGTGCGCGCCAGAGGGGCGCTGCGCAAAGACCCCCCCCCCAGGTGCCGCCCCAATACTCCTCACTCCTACTAGTTTGGGGACGTGAAAAGGAGAAAGGGAGTACCTTTTACAAATAAGGTAGCGAGTTCAGATTTACGTGACTTGCGCCTGGTCACACAGGTCCACAACAGAACTTGGTTCAAACCCAGCCTATGCATATTTCGTTATGTCCTACCTCCGATCTTCTCAATACCTTCAAATCTGTCAACTCACTCCTGCTTCTCACAGGTAAAGTAAGTGGAATGGCTATTGTTCCCATCATCTGCCTTATGAAATACGCACTGCAAGGGCAAAATGAATTTGTTCTGCAAATGCAGAGTGGACCTAGGACTAGAAATCAAGTCACCTGACTTGGCGATGACTTCTGGAATTAAGGAAGGAATAACCCCCCATATCTCAGCAGCCACAATGGGAAAACCCTGGTTTCTAAATCTTCTGCTAGACTCGGGGAGAAGGCAGGAGGTATCCAGTCCCCATGCCTCTGCTGCTTACATTTATTTGCTGCTTCAGGCCCAGTATGGAAGCTGAAGGTGCTTTAACAGCCTGCTCAGTAAATAATAGTTTTTGTACTGTTTGTTAGGATTTTTTTTATGAAAAGTTTCCATTTCAACATAAATTCTCATACTTGTTTAGTTAGGTCACAAGCTTTTCCCTTCCTTAGAACTTAAAATTTAGTCTGTTCATATGCATTATATCAGTGAAAACAAATTACACTGCCTTGTTTTGTTTTTGATTATTAAGTACTTGTTACTCCTTTTGTTACAAGAAAATCTTGGAGTTAAAAGCACAGTAAATATTTGTAAAACTCTTCCAGGATTTAACCAACAAGTATTGGCAAAGACCACAAGACCATTCACTTTATTGCTTTCTATTTCAACAGTTCCATAAACTGACAATCATTCATAACATTTGCACACATATACTGAGTAAATTTTTAACAGCTTTATTGAGATTTAATAAACATACCATATAATTCACCCATTTAAAGTGTATAAATCAGTGATTTTTAGTATATTCACTGAGTTGTGCAAATATTGTCACAATCAATTTTAGAACAGTTTTATCACCCCCTAAAAAATGTGCCCATTAGCAGTCCCCCTTTTACCCCAACTCCCACCCCCACCCCCAGTCCTAGCCAACCACTAATGTTTGTGGTCCTATAGATTTGCCTACTATGGGCATTTCGTAAAAATGGAATCATACAATATGTGGCGCTTTCACTTAGAATAATGTTTTCAAGGTTTGTCAATGCTGTAGCATGTATCAGTACTTTATTCATTTTTATTGCTGACTCATTGTATGGATATGCCACATTTTATCCATTCATCAGCTGATGGACATTTGAGTTGTTACCACTTTGGGGCTATTGTGAATAGTGTTATGAACATTTGTATACAAGTTTTCCTGTAGACGAATGTTTTCATTTCTCTTGGGGATATACCTAGGAGTGGAGTCGTTGGGTCATATGGTAACTCTGTTAAACCATTTGAAAGACTGCTAGACTGTTTTCCAAAGAGGATGCACCATTCTACATTCCCACCAGCAGTGAATAAGAGTTCCAAGTTCTCCTTATCCTTGCCAACACTTGTTATAATCTGTCTTCTTAATTATAGCCACTGTAGTGAGTTTGAAATAGTAACTCATTGTGATATTGATTTACATTTCCCTAATGGCTAATGATGTTGAGCATCTTTTCATGTGCTTATGGGCCATTTGTATATCTTCGTTGAAGAACTGTCTATTCATGTCATTTGTCCATTTTTTAATGTAGTTATTTGGTTGTAAGAATTCTTTGTATATTCTTGATACAAATCTCTTATCAGAATATATGATTTGTAAATA